GTGGGGCTGGCCGGGTCCCCGTCAGCATCAGGGAGCAGCCCCTGGCAGGCGCTGGCTCAGCCCCACATAGCCCGTCGCTTAATTCCTCGTTAACCAGCCTCCCGCCGTTGCCACAGGCTGGGTCCGGTCCGAGCGCAGTCACGCGGTGTCTTCACGCCTTAACGCCGCAGGACAGGCAGCCTCAGGGAGGGAAGGTCCGGTGAAAAACCCCTTCCACAGGATTTTTCCCAGGGACCCCAGGCGACCCTGGCCATCACAGCCCTGCCCTGGTGCTCTGCTCTGAAACTCCGTCCCCAGGGTCCAGGGAGGGCTCCCAGCATAGCCCAAGCCCCACGCACACGGGGTGCAACCTCCTCGATGGCGTCCAGCGCCCTGAGCTTGCTTGCGAGGCCCCGTCCCGCCTTGTCCGCGGCGCTTTCCGCAGCTGAAGGCTGGCAGGGAAGGTGGTGTGCTCCCTTGGCCTTCCCACAGCCTCACACACCAGTTGGCCAGTTTACCCGGTCCAGCCAGGTGCTAGCACCATCCCAGCGCCCCGGATGCCCTCTGGAAGCAGATTTCCTTCCCTGCTGCCGCCCGAGGAAAGCAGCGGGCAGCAGAGCCTCTCTGGGGCAGGACGACGGCATCCCCCCTCGCCTCTCCGCGCTCTGGCATGGCGCCCAGGAATCCCAGCGCATTCCCCGGAGCTGAGCTCAGCCGGGCGGCCGAGCCGGGGTGCGGGGGGAGCGCAAGACGTCAGCCCTCCCTCTGCCCCCCAGGGACCAGGCAAGCCCTCGCTGGTGCCCCCCAGCACCCCGCATGGCCCCTCCACCGGGTGCTGCGTGGGGGTACCACGGCGTGTCGGTCCCCGTCCCATCTGCTGCCAGCGCGTGGGGTGGGGGATGGGACGGGGCTGGCTGCGGCCCCAGCCTGGGCACAAGGGATCTGAGCTCTTTCAACAGATGAAATAAGAGTCTTATTTAAAGAGCATGCTAATCAGAGCGAGCAGCCGGCCTGCTCGCTCCCTGCAGCCAGCACTCCCGTCTAGACATGGGGTGAAGCACCCCCCACCCGGGGGTCCCAGCAGCTGCCCCCCAGCACCCCACGCCGGGGACAGGCTTGCACATCCCCCTGCCCCAGCCTGGTGCTGGCAAGGCACAGCCGCACAGGGACATCATCCTGCACCCCCTGCCCTGGGGAGCCCAGGGGGTAAGACAGGGGGGCAGGTAAGGGAGCTGGCAACGTCGCCGGAGCCGCCCGCGACAGCTGCTTCTGAGCTCACGGGAATCCCAGCAGCGCAACAGGTCTTTTACTGGGTAGGACTGGAAAACCTGCGGAAAAGGCAGAATCGGTCAAGACAGGCTTCCTCCGGGGAAGTGGAAGAGGCCAGGCACGCAGCACCTGCTCCTGGCGAACACTCGAGCATCAGCAGCCCTCACCTCCTGCGTTCCCGGGTGCGGCAGCGGGCACACCGGGA